TAGATCTCCAGTCATGCTTTTACTGTACAGTGTAGAAATGAAAAAGAATAATGACTTGCTTGTAGCTGCTTCTCTGGGGTTTCTTCTTGTCGGTCTGTGAATTCACAACTCATCCTTCTATGCAGCTTCTTTAAATATGAGTTAAAAAAGAAATAGGATTTTGTACTTAAGGGGAACTGTGAGAGATTAACAGACCCTGCTCTTTCTGTAAGAGATGCCTATGCAGCACTGAATTTGAGATGTAAACATTTGATGCTGGTGAGTTAAAATTTGAAGCTAATGTTTGTGTGCAGGTATAAGAAATATAACAGTACGACTGTACTTGTACAGGATGTGCTACCTGTAAACTTCTTGTCTTAGCAATTAGAAGTTGGTTTTTAAACAATAAGTTTGTTTATCTTGTTTCATAATTGTTTATATTATTCCATAACAGCCTTCTTTAGAGGCACTGAGCAATTTCAATTCTTGTTAACTGTAGTAGCTTAGAAAATGACACTATCCAGATCTAATACATTGTCTGAGAATGTTAAGGAATAATAAGCAATCATAAGGTAGCATCCAGTTTTAAATGGAGTTTAATGTGTTTCTGTTTTAAAAAGTCTTTAATGCATGTGAAATAAAAATATAGCTTTCCTGCTTTATAAATTTAACTTTTTAAAATTTCACAGATTTTTTTCAGTATTTCTTGTGCTTCTGTATGCGTGGTGATTAAATGTTGCAGCTTTTGTTCAGATATTTCATGTATTTTTTAAATACTTGAGATTAAGTTTTGCATTTATTGGAGCCAACTTTTATATTAACAGGCATTCCTACTCTAGAAATAGTTCAGTGAGACCATATTTGAAATTAATTGATGGACAATGTGTCCCACCAATCTAGATTGCTGGCACAATTGTCAAGGGTCAGGGTGTGCTGAAGGTAGCTGAATGAACAAATTATGCTGCTATTGTAATTATAGCAGTACATTAACTATCATGACTGACATGATTTAGACAAGTAATCCCCAGCACTCTGCAAGTCAGTTCCCTTCTGTCTTGTGTATTTAGTTCCTAATAGCAGTTGATTGTCCTTTGCTTTTCTGACTTTGTGCCAGCTGGAGGATACCAGCATATAAAAGCTAAGGTAATGTTGTACCAAGTGTCTGTAATTTTGTTGCAGTCTGGGTTGTGGGATTGGTGCCAGTATGTTGTTTGAGGATTTGTAAGTAGAAAGAAGTTATAATTAGACGTAGATAAATAAATATATCCTCTGAATATGTAAGTTTTTCTGTTCAATTGTTATTTTACTGTGGGAAATGATTTTGAAAAATATATCCATTACTTATCTGTGTGCTGCTCTATTGTAGTCTTGTGACTTTCGGTGTTTTTCTGTGTATAAGAGGCAACATGTCTTATGCATCCACAGAATTTAGTACTAACATGCAATCACTTCCTATTTTTCAAACTAATGGGAAGCTGAGCGGCTGTTGCAAATGGCATTTCTAGAAATCTGAAAATAAACATGTAATTCTTCCTGCACAATTTTATTATAGGTTGTTATGCAATAAAAGGAAAGAAATGTAGTTTCATCCTCAGAGTTTAGCTTAAAACTTCAATTTATCTATTATAATTAAGAATTTAATTATATACTGGATATTTGATAGAAATAATTCAGACAATGAACGTGGAATCCATAATACAATTTTTTAAATTCCTATAAAGTGGACATGTCAGTTTCCAAGAGGATTGCTTTTTTGCCTAGGACTTGAAAAACCTATGAGCTGGAAATTGCAAGTTGTTGGTTATTTCAGATGCAAAAGCTGAGAGTCAAAAATAAGGAGCAAAATCAGGTGTTACTCACTCCTGGAAAACCCTGATGGAATTTTGAGTAAGATTCAGTACTGCTTGGGGGATCCAAGGTCTAACCAGCATGATGGGAAGAGCTGGAGGCAATGTGCTAGCAGGTAGGTGGATAGTGATAGAAGACTTGCTCTAGATGGGTTTTCAGATGTGCTATAACCTAGGGTAGAGTTGCATCATGGCTGACTATGTTCCTGATGCTTTCCCAGGACAAGGTGCTCATTCTCTATTTCTCCTTGGAGGCGGATCAATGCAGAGAGCCTGTTCTGAGTGTCCTTCAGCTTCTGTGTTTGGATCCTTCTTCTTCCACGAGTAACCCCTGTGTTTGCAGCTTTTGTTCTTGCTTACAACTTTTGTAACTCGACAGAGGCTTGACATTGAGTTGTTTCAAAACTACAGATTCAGAACTGACAGAAGAAGTGTTAAGTTCTCCACAGGATTAGTTTTGGTATTATCAAGCTGATGTGCCTGAAAGACAGGGTAAAGGAGTGTATAGTTGTATCAGCTTGGATTTGTTTCACATTTTGTTCACACTGGAAAAACTATTCTTTTTTACATACAAAATCTGGAAGTATTTTTCTGTTTTAATTGAAGTTTTAATCCTACAAAAATTGTTTTCCTTAGTTCCCATGACTGCTGGTGGACTTTTTCCTGCCTGTCATTGAAATGTAGATAGATCCTCAACTCTAGTTCCTGAGTCCCATTTTCTGAAGGAATTTGATATCTGAGACTCCCCTGTCTTGATGTGAGCATCACAGAGTGTATTTGGTCAGCTTTTTGTTATGCTGCTTGTCTCATTTCTAGCTTTTAAAATTTGATTTTAAATATGAATTTGAAGCTATGTTGCATTAGTAGCTGGACAGTTTTGTGTGTACGTGAATGTCCAGAGTAAAAGTGCTATGATTTGTGCATGCATCCATCACTAATAGTGTAGTTATTTCCAAAATACTAGATGCTCATATAGAAATTGTCAGTTGAGGACTAGTGTAATACAAAAATATAACAGTTTGATTTGCACATGCATTTAGCTTTCATATGTGCCCATCTTCATCAATGCTTAAACAGGAAAAAATAAGGTCTGCTTATGACTGCTATGGTAGAGTTTAAGCTGTTAATTCTGAAGAAGTGAAAGTGAACAACTTAATTTTGAAAGGAGAGAAATGTGGCATACCCAGATGCCTCAGCTAAAATATGCAAAATACTTAAGGAGAGACACGGAGTCTTGAGCTTGTCCTTGAGCTACATGTCTAATTTTGTAGACAAATAAAGACTGTAAAGCTGCTTTAAAAAAGCCAACTTAACTTTCCATTACAGAGGGTTTCAATCAAGTTGGGAAAGAGAGTTCTTGACTCATGGCACTGCATGTCTTTCATTATTTAAACATAAAAAGTAAAATAAAAGCAAAATTTCTCAGTAGTTACACTTGAAGTCAGGTTGTCTGCTTTATATCATTGTGACATCTGGACAAATTCCACTTGTGTTTCAGATAAATTTAAAATATTTTGTTGAGGTAAATTCACAAATTAGGAGAATGTATTAAAGTCATAAGGAGATCTGGAATCCTCAACATTCACATTTTCAAAAAGCTAAATCTATGATTTTTAAGTTTTTTTTCCTTAAACTTTGAAGTCACAGGAGACATCCTTTCTTTTCCTGTTCAGAATTTGTGGATTTAATAGATTTTAATGAAAGTTGCCTATTTAAAAAATAGAAAAAAAACCATGAAGTTGAACTAATTGGAGATGTAGTAAGGAGGAAGTATTAAATATGTAAATGAGTGTATTTGGCTCATCAGATCTTCAGGTCCTCCTCTTGTAAACAGAGCAGGAGCCATATGCCAAGCTATCAATCATCCTAAGAACAGAGAGGAGGCTGAAGAAACCTGTAAAGAAATACAAATAAAGGGACAAAAGCATAAGCTAGTCAGAACTTATCTGTCAGTGATGCATTTATTTAGATTGGGGCCTCTCAGCTATCTTGGGGCCAGATGAGAACTCGAGAGCACTTCAAGTGACAGCTCACACTGTAACCAAACAGTGACTGGGAAAGGGGATCCCTGTGTCCTGCTGGATTTGAGTGTTGCTGAAGAGGTTGGGTGGAAGCGTGGCTTTCTGGATTGTTGAATATCATGAGCAAACATACTATCTTTTCTGTAGCTTTTCCATAAAATTGCAGCAGATTTATAAAAAATACAGGGTACTTGGGTATTAGTTGATATAAAAAATATTTAAAGCTTTAGGGTGATTATTAGCATGCTTTATATTTACACAGAAACTACATTTATAAAACATATTGTAGCAGCTAAATAACGTTGGACTCTTGAATTGGAAAATAGTGATTTTTGTTTCCAGATTTTATTGGTAGGATCTGTTTAATTTTGAATTTTACTTGGTAAAACTTGCTGTGCTTGTTTTTCCTAGTTGAACAGAAATTTTGTTCTTGTTAAAAAAAAATATTTTAAATGGATTTTCTTGTGTAAACCACTATAAAGTGATTAAAAGGGATAAGTTCTTCAAAAGGCAGCGTCTTACAGTATTTGAATAGCTTACATACTAATTGGTTTTTCAACTGTGTGCCTGGCTCACCTGTGACTTTTTGTTCATCAGCATGTTTTGCTACAAGGTAGTGTATCTTGTAATTTGCTCACTGTTAATTTTTAGACTATTCCCTTATTACATATTTTGCTGTTTCTTCATGATGTTTGCAGTAACTTGATCTGCATTTTGAGTTCTAACAAACTTTTAAAAAAAACTTTCTGTGATACTTGCTGGAAGAAGGGTTTGCTTTAGCCTGTCGCTGGTATAAAAATTAAAAGTAGTTTCTGTGGATTTATTTTGAGGTATTTGTTACTATAAAATTGAAAACATGAGATCAGAGGTTATTTCATTGCATTTATACTTTATAATGACATTTGTACCTTTACCTTTGAATTTTTTGATTTCTAAGTATCAGTCTGTGGAATAGTAACTTGCTAGCATGAAATCAAAAAAGGAATTCATTAAAGCAATTGTTGTTTTACATTTAAGAACTTATTAAAGCAAACTATGTAAATGGAAAAATAATATGGATGTGTCTCAGACATGCAGCATTAACTTCCAATTTGTTTTCAGTAGTGATTAGTTTGAAGGCTTATGTAGAACAGCTGATAAGCCTTTATAGGGGATGTCATTAGTAATAAAGAGGAAAACTTTCACCTTTAACAAGATTTTGTCTTCTATGCAGCTTGCCCAGTTTAGGCAGCGGAAGGCACAAACTGATGGTCAGAATGGATCAAAGAAGAAGAAAAAGAAGAAGAGAACAGCAAACATCAAAGATGAAGAATCAATACAAGATGGGGTTGATACTGATCGATCTCAAGGTGATGAAACATTCACATGCAGCAGCCAAAGGGGAGCAGCTGCTACTGCTGACTTTGCCATTATCAGGACTTTACATAGTGGAGAAATTATAAAACACAGCCAGACTTACACCATTGAGGTAAGTACTCCCTAAATGGGCAAAAATTAGTTTTGTTTTATTGTTTTGTGTAATGCATTTTGTTTTGTTAAAAGTTTACAAATTGCAGTGGATTTTGATCAGTGCAGCTGTGGCTACAGCAAAATGCAAAACTAAACATTTTTCTTGTATCCATAATGTAATTTGAGTCTTTCTGGTTAATGAGGAGGAGGAATGAATTTAGAAAACAGTACTTAACTGGGTGGCTTAAGAGACTGGTAAACAGATACTCTACTTTTACTGCTTAATGAAATACATTAATTGCTAGTGGCTGAAAGTACATGCTCCAGGAAGGTTGTTAAGATGTCCTGTGTGATATACACTAGCAGTCCAGTTCAGTTCTGAATGGACATGAATTCACACAATGTAATATTTTGTTCCAGATATGAGGAACAAGAGATGCTGATGTTTATTTACAGAATAGTTTATTCCATTCATGAAAGCAGTGCCTCTAAAAGAACACTGAGTGGCATTCTGAACAAGCAGCTCAACACAGATTCCCAGGTCTGTGCATGTGAATGCAGTCTTTTCTGAGACATGCAGATGTAGCTCTGCATTTTGACTTGTTAGTCCTGTGCTAGGATAGGCCATTTGTAACTATTTTGGCTCCAGTATCTCATTTCCAGCAGCTGAGAAGTAGTAGAGAAATGACACTTTTCAAAAATGTCTTGCATTTTTGTTAAGAAAAGAAAAGAAAAGAAGAGAAAAGAAGAGAAAAGAAAAGAAAAGAGAGGTTACCCTGGTGCAGGGGCAGACAGATTAAATCATACCTGCAAATGAAAAGTTGTAAAGTAATTGATCCATTTATTTTACAACCTTAAACCTACAGTGTATCAACACACTAGATATTTTGAGCTTGAGAGATACATGCTTTTAATATGTAGCTTTTTATACTTAGAAAGCTCACATTAGGGCGTCAGAACTGTTTGTAGTAACTCAAGAAAACTACCCATTTAACTCATAGCTTTTCCTGGAGGAGGTAATAAATTTTTTAAAGAGTATTTAATACCAGAATGACTGCTTTCATAGGTGAAGGTGAGACTTTTTTTCCTTCTAGGAAAAGAGAAGGGTGTATCAAGTTATCTACAGCTAAGAAAGAGAGGACTGCTGAGGACAGAGGTGTTTAAAGGGAGCCACTTAAACTGTTGTTTTAACAATATAATCTACATAAATATGATAAGTATATGAAGAAACTTTCATGAACAAATATATTTTTAAGTACATCATGATTGCATATTACAGATGGACTCTGCTGATGTACTTGTTCTCATTCAGGATAAATATCTCTACTGCAATTGGAGAAACAGGGTAAAGTACAGAATCGTAGAATAATTTAGGTTGGAGGGGACCTCCAAGGTCATCCAGTCCAATCCTTTGCTCAAAGCAGGTCTAATTAGATCAGGTTGGTCGTAGTAGCCTATGTTGGCCTCTAATGCTAATAGTACAAGACACAGATGATTTTAAAAATTGGAAAAGTATCTGTGCTGCAGTTGCTAAAGACTGCACACAAAGATACATTCTTAACATTGGGTATGATTTTTCTAAGGTCTGCCTTATTACTTACCTTATGTTTAAATCAATACATAAATTTAGAGATGTATAGGGTTTTTCGGTTTGTTGGGATTTTGTCTGGTTGGTTGGTTTTTAAATGTAGCTTTAAAAGAATAAACATGGTGATGACTGTTTATTTGTAATTTGGCTGTCCTGAATGTACTCATGTCATAGTGACTTCTATAACGGTATTCAATTACACAAAAAAAAAAAGCTGCTGCCAATTAGGAGAACATTTTTCTTTGTTACATATTGTCTGTGGCTTGCTTATTCATGTTAAATAAGTAATGGATATTTTGGAGTTGGAAGATGATTGCTAAAGTTTCTATCTATGCAGTACTAATAGAAGAGGAAAAATTCTGAAATAGTTTCAGTGAGTCTCATAACTTACTGTTTTTAATCTTAAAAGTGCAATGATTTGGACAGAAAGCCTGTATTACAGTAATTGGATTAGAGCTTGCTTAGTTGAAATGGCAGCCAATGTAATAGGCCAATAGTTTCAGGCTAATCTCTGCAATGGAGAATTACAGACAACTTCTTTGAGCTGTTTGCTTTTTCACTCAACATTAAATCTTTATAGGCTGCTGTGTCAGGGGAATCAGGCAAGATTACTGGAGGCATTATTCAGGATTATGTTCTAGGTAAATTCTGATTCCACTTACTTATTTCATCTTTTACTGGAATTCATATTTAGAATTGTTCCTTCTGTACCACAAAATAGACTCAGAACATCTGACTATACTGGCTATCTATCTAAAAATCCTGACTGGGCTATTTTGTGGTAGTTTTGTGGATAGAAGTTTATCTTCTTGCTGTTTTTCTAGTGTGACTTTTTAGACCCAAGTGGAATTAGCATGTCCAAATACAAATTACAAAGAGTTCTCTTACTCAATATGAGTAACAGAAAGTGAAATAGAGGTACTCCTCTGGGAGCTTATTCCCCATCTAAACTTTGAGGAGTTCCTTTTCAAAGAGGTCATAAATCTGTTTAGAGAATTACAAGTTAGTTTTTGCAGTCATCCCTTTCACTTTTTTCTCCATCTCTCTTCCTAAAGGCAGATTCCTTCATCTGCCTGTAATCACTCAAGTTACAGAAACTAATTAGAACAACTCTGGAAGCACTGTTATTGTTTTGTACTCTCCTTATCCATTCCATTTTACTTTCTGTCTGAACTTGTGATTTCTATAAGGTTTTCCATCCTCTGTGAGAGGAACAGTTTATTTACAAGATGTATTAGAGAAATATTAGTTGGTATCTTGGTGGGTCTTAACTTGTTTCATGTTATATGCTTTTTGTCTTGGTCTCACAAAGAGAATAGTATGTTGAGTTTCTAGTTGCCTTTGGTTTTTGTCTTTATTCTATTGCACCCTGATATCTTTTGATCTTAACATCCGTAGAGTCCTTTTTCAAATAGAAGTAAAAATAATCTAGAAGCCACAGCTCAGGAAATAAATTGGATCAATAAACCTCTTGGTTTTAATATTGCTTCTTTTTGTGACTTCCTGCAATTAAAAATGAAAGAAAGCAAAAGCCACTTCTAGGATAAATAATTACTGAAATCACCTTCTCTGAGAAGTCTTGAAACAATGCATTGGAGCAGAGTGCTTTGCAAGAATGTATTAATGCCAGGAAAGCAAAAGAAATTAACCTGTAGCACAGTAAAACTGTCCTCGAGTCACCTGTGTAGTAAAAGCTATTATACAAATCTTCTTAGAAAAGAAAAGTTCCAAGTTCTGTGATGAAGAATACCTGCTAATTGACTAAGGTTGGATTAGTAACTCGTCTTTTGTTTTTCACAGAACAAATCTGTTTGATAATAGTTTTAGAGTAGCTTAACTGTTTGCTCAAGTAGGTGGTAAAGTTTATTGCTCCATTTTCATTGTTTCATTTCTATAACTTACTCCGCTTGTTAGTGCCTGAGATTTGACAGGCAAGGAACAGAAACAGTAAGAAAGAGACACTGGGTAGGATTCTTCAGAAGAACTAAGGAAGAAAAGTGACAGAAATATGGAAACATAATCAGTGTGGAGAAACAGAGAGGACGCCTCATTGAGAAAAGGTGTAGGTGGTGAATGTGGGCAAGGCGTTACTATGATAGAAGCATGAAAGCAAAGAGTAACCAAAGGCTTTGACTAGAGAAGAGATATTCTGGGATGTACAATAAGATGGAGGATTTGAAAAAAAGGATGGATAGATGTAGTAAAAATTAGCCCAGTCACTTCAGATAATCCAGCATCAAAAAGTATTTTGAAATTGGAGAATGAAGATAAACAAATGTTTGGAAATGGTCTGTTCAATAGTAAAGTCAGTGCCACAAGAGAAGATAAATTCTCAGCAGCATATGGTTCTGACTGAAGCCAGTCATCTTTCCATTCACTATCTGGCCAGAAGATTGCTGGGATATCCTGCCAATTTTCCTTGATGCATAAGACAACTTCTGGTATGATGCCTTCCTTTCTCTCTGTAAATACTGATATATGATAGATTTACTGACATGAAAATTACCTGTATGGAAAAATGGTGTCTGCAGATTTATAGAGTATTTAATTTTAAATTAAACATTTATAAGGCTGTATTACCAAAGAATAGAAACCTAATTAAATGCTTAGATTACATCTCTGTTGATGATGTTTTCTGATACAGGAAATTTATACATTGAGGAGTGAGGTACCTCACTACAGATTATATTCAGATTTGGCAGTGATTTGTCTCCACTAAGATGTACTCCATTTACATTTGATTATAGTCAATTGGTTTGGGTCATAAATTACCAGGGAATGTGTTCTTTTGAACTGAATGATTTTCAGATTAGGAACTAACAATGGCATGACAAGGCAATATGTAAGAATAGCACTTCACATTCTGAACGTTCTACAAATATTAAAGACCCATAAAGTTCAGGATGACCTAAAGAGAAGGTTTTGTGATTGGGATTTTCAGTTTACATTCTCTTTGTCTCCCTTCCTAGTCGCAATGCTTTTAAGTAGTCTTGCTCAGATTGTGATCATCAATGGTTTTCTTCAGGTAGAATTCTGTTCCATGATACTCAGTCTTGGTTCTCACTCTTTAATACTCTCATCCATTGAAGTTGGAGTAGTTTAGTACTGGATACCTGTTCTTGTAAAAAGTTTTATTGTCACCTATGAAGGTTTTCTAAAGAAACATAAAAATTACTTTTCAATTCTCATGGACAATTTCGTATATGAATTCTTTTTGTGAATCTTGTGATAATGTTCGGCATCCAGTGCCAAAGAACGTGACTTCTGAGCAATGCTTAACTGCATACAGAGACAAGTTACTCTGAAATGGACCTCCTGTGTTCCACAGGCTGATTACGCCCTTTGTATTCCCTCCACCTTGCAGTATTTCCTTTGAAGAATGTGTACAGATGAAAGTGGTTTTAATTTTCTGAATACGTAAGTGTTGTCTTTAAAGGTACTGCCTGCAGAGTTGATGGAGATAGTTAAAATACTATTGGCATTATCCTGTCAAAAGATGTGTTGCTAGCAGTGTGTGTATATATGAATTTTTTGAAGTGTTTCCTTTTAAACTATACCCTTGTGGTTCTAAACAGATGAGCCGTGTAAAACCTAATTACTTCTGTTGACTAAAGAAGAATTGAAGCATACAGAATGGGTGGGGAACTGCATTTGAAATAAGGTTGGTCAGGTCTTAGGATCAGAACATAGCTGCTTGCAGGACAAAATGGGTGCCTGTAAAATGCTGATGACTTGTTACTGATTCTGACAGCAAAATAATAGCATTAAGTCTTCCAATGTGGGAGTCTAATCTGTGAGCTGATAGGATTTGAGTCTTTTTAACTGATATTTAGCTGGGTTTGGACAAACTCCTTAGCATAGGAGACAGAACTATTTAACTTGAGTTCATTTGACCTTCTTTCTGTACTTACCTTCAATAAATCAGTATTATTACAGTAACTGCCTTCCTTTGAGAATTTACATTTTTTCACTCTAGTCTAAGCTTCAATCTACAAGTTCTTTGTCTTTTACTATGATTATCTACTAGGTTTGAGTTTATCCCAGGATCTAAACGTTCGTTTATCATCTTCCTTATAAACAAGGGGCTGTTTCTATAATTCAAAAGCATTTACAAGGAAAAACTATATAAGAAGTTAAGACTCGTTGTCCTTGGTTTTTTGCACATTGGAGGAGTGCACGTATTTTACGCACTATATGAATAACTTCCAGAGTCATTAGATATAATTAAATATGTACATTTGTAGGAATACTTCTAAGCTTCTATAGGAATACTTCTCATCTTTCTTTGTGAAGTCTTCTGAATTGGAACAAACCATGCCAAATCATAGGATGATATGGCGATACATTTATTATCTGTATTATGAAAAAAAAAAAAATAACATGGTGTTCCCTGATTTTATTCCTTCCAGAGGACTTTGTCCTAGATCAAGACTACAAGCAATATGTAAAATGTGTGTGTATATGTCTATATATACAAATATACATATAAGTATATATAATATGAAAACAAATATATATTTATATAAAAATTTAAATATTGTTATGTAGTTATTGTGTATTCCACAGCAGAAACACTTTTGTCACCCTATAATTTTAAAACATAATTTTGATTTCTGTTTCAGTTTGTGGCTTATTTTTTTTTATTTTAAAATCATTTGCACTGTATGAATTTCAGCTTCCACATACGTATTTTAAATCAGTTTTGTCCACTCTGTACCTAAAATAGTACCCTTTTTTAGATTAATTACGTTGTGAAGCTACATGTTGGATTCAAGATATGCAGAATCGATGATTCTGGGATTGTAAAAACTGCAGTTGGTCTGAATGGCAGATTTCTTTTTAAAAAAAAACCAAACCCAACCAAAACACAGCTGACTTCCAGATTTTACTTATGTCTACTGATGCAAAACTGACTATATTCCTTTGAAAAGAAGCCTGACAGAATTAAATGTAAAATGGAGACTGATTTGATGTGAGACTGCCTAATGTGTTACGTGAATTTTGAAAAAGCCCTATTATGTACACTTCATTTTTGCTAAAGTAGTTTTAACTCAAAATTAGACTTTTTGAGTTCAAAAAGGTACTTACTTATTCCCCAGTAGTGCACCTTATATAGATAATTTGAATGTTTTGCATATGTTCCTACTAACATCTTAATTCTCAAACCACATACATTGTCTGCAGTTCATCAAGATACTCTGTATTTAATTCAAGTGTCTTCCATGTCATGTTTATGCTCAGTTTGTTAAGGCTTTGTTCCTTTAATTGTTTCAATTCATTAGATCACAAGATTTGAGTCTTTTCCCTTGTTCTTCCTGATAATTTTTACCTTTCCTTGGTTTCCATGGAAGCTGAAGAAGAATATGAGTGTTTGTTTTAAAATTCTAGTCAGCATCAAAAGTCTTGCATGTATGAAAAAGATATTTTATATATGATTATATTCTTAAGCCAGCAAAGTTCCTAATTAGGTAAAATTTTAGGTTAAATAGATCTATTGGAGAAAAGTCCTTTTCTTGATACTCTTTATTTCTTAAAAAAAAAAAATTATATATGTATATATATATATTTGTTACTTTTTCAAAATATTATTTTATACCTGTAAGTTGTTATTTTCATTAGAAGACTTTGTCATGTAATTATAATGTTTCCTTGATCATAGTTGAAATGCAAAGTAACTTCTTTTTTAAAGCTGGGATTTCAAGGAAGTAAAGGTGGCCTTTGTTATATATATATATTCTAGTCAAATTAATGTATACCTTAATATTTTCAAATACTATCTACATTCTCAGAAACAGATGGAAAATGTCTTGTTCGATATTTTAGAGTGCCATCCTTGTAAATATTTTATTTATTATTTTTTTTTAGCCGGAAAGTGAAATTTCCACCACAGTAGAAGATTACAGTTCTGAGGTAAGACTGAAGTAACGCTTTTCCTAACTCTTCTTTCAACTTTTTCTTTTACGTGTTTACTGCAATGCTGTGCATTATTTTTCAAAAAGAGAAAGAAAGAAAGGCTAGGTGTGATATTATAGACAAAGCTGTTGCATGTCACTACTGGTATGATTAATGTACCATTAAAGCAAGCATTATATCAACTACATCATGAAATAGCTACTGTAATCCATAATGCAGTAGATATATGAATTTTGTAACAATGTCATCATTATGGTTGTATTAATGCTTCATGTTGCCACTGGAGTTGTGTGTGTGCATAATTTTTACTGATTTTATGTGAGAAACTATTTAACAAGTTGATTATGTTTTAACGAGTTCCAAAGCAGACATTGTTCAGTGACTGGCTGGGCGTCATCTGCTGGTGGGAGGTGGTGAGTGATGCCTTTACATCACTTGTTGTTTGGGGGTTTTGTTTTGTTTTCTTTTACTTATTCATCTGTCTTTATCTCAACCCATGAATTTTTCTTGCTTTTTCCCTTCTGTTTCTCTCTATCCCACTGGTGGGGGAGTGAGTGAGTGATTGATTGTGAGGGCCTGGCCATAACCTACCATACATTGACATCTACTACTCATCTGTATTACGTGAAAGGGTAGCAGCATATATGGAATTTTGGTCTTGCCAAATAAAACACTTTGTTATGTTTTTGAGGAGTAAATTACTTCATGCATTAATGTGGACCAAGAACATGCAAGAAGTAGCCATGGAATATTTGAGTACAGTAAATACTGTTTCCAGTTTAAAAAAATGTTAATATCTCAAACCATCACTCTCTGTAGTGACAGTCTAGGTGTTGTTTTGTAGACCTCTATGCTAAACACTTCTGCAAAACACACCCCAGAATCTTAAGCTTGGCAACAAGGAAGAGAGGATGAAGTGATCAAATGAGTTTACATTGCTGAAGTAAATTTAATGTGGAATACTTTGTTTCTCTCCTGAGTCAGCCTTTTGTAAGAGAAGGTGACCATGCCTTAGAATAACTATTTGTTCCATACTAGTGTTATAGTTGCTTATTCTTTCCCAATTTAAATGCTCTGTCTTCACTTATGCCTTCTCCCAGCCTATTCTCTTGACCAACTCTGTGTCTGTTTTCTATCCCCTAGCTTTCTGCAAACTCTAATAGCTCCTGTCAGTCTTTTCACCTTACCTTTCCCATCCCCTTTTTCCCCTTGCTTAGTTTCTTAGTTCAGTCTTATAGGCTTTTCAGGCTATTTCTCTTCTTCCTTTTCCTCCCTCAGTCATTCTGAAGACCAGTTTCTTTCCCAGCCTTTCTGATTTCATCCAAGCGTTGTTTTTCCTTCTTTCTTCTTTTAATATTTTTTCTCCCTTGAAAACCTCTTCTCCTTTGTTCCCTCTTCTTATGTTGGGGTCCTCCTAATGTCAAGCTCAACTTGTCCTAGCTGAAAGCAGTCATTTTTCTTTCCAACCTCTCTCATCAAATCCCAGTTACAGTTTCCTCCATAGATTTGGTTTCAGCCTTTTTAGTTGAATTCTTTTCATGTCCCTCTCTTTCCCAGTTTGACTTTTTCTCTCCCACTTCTTCCTCCCGTCCTTGTTTATAAGCACCCTCACTTTCTTCTGGTGTGCTGGGAGAAGGCACTTGGGAGTACCAGGAAGCCATTCCCTCACTTTCATTATTGGCTACTTTCAAATACAGAATACTGAACCATATGTACCCTTAGTCTGGTCAGTTGTGACCATTCTTATGGTGTGTTTTTTGTGATGCAAATTAAAAAAAAAAAAAAACCTGAGACAGGCACTTTTGGAATTGAAGATTCCATTCCAGCTACTGGGGAGTGTTGTAAATGAAGGGTTAGGTGCAAGGGGTTGAAGCAAACTGTACCTGGGGATTAAAGATTAAAGATTTAGTATTTTTCATAGGTAAAATGTGGTTTATTTTGCCCAAGATATTAAAGTAGAAAAGAAGAAAAAGAATCTGAGTTTGCTTCATATGTGGTAAAGATGATAGGGCAGTCTGTGCACACAGTTTGCCATTGGGAGTGTAGCAAAAACACTTTTGAACAACTGCTATGACCTTACTGCACCTTTTTAGAATATGCATCACCATGGTTTGTGATTACTATTAAATGCAATATGCAGTATGTGAAGAATGAACATTATATACAATAATACAATACAATACAACTAAGATTTTGATCACTTCTGAGGTTGTAGGAAGCAGTGTTGGAGACTGATTGCAGAAGCTCAAGAAAACACATCTTTGCACAAGGAGACAGAATACAGAAAAGATCTGTCATAATGTCTCATGGTAATTGTGGATATGTTCTGATTTTTAGTGTTTTGTTAGTATCAGTTAAATTCAAAGCTCTCATTTTAAAATGCATTTTCACATCTTAAACACTTCATTCTTCAAAGATTTCTGTAGGTGCCTACAGAGTATATTAGGGAGCAATTTTTCAGATACTAAAGACAATAGAATTACAGACAGACCGCCTTCTGAATGTGTCTTTTAAAAAATTGCAGATTTCCTCAGAAATGCAATGACAGATATATTTCTAGGCACTTCTTATTCTCATTCCTGCAAAAGTACTTTTTACCTCCCTGAGAGTTATTTTCTAAGACATAAGTTAAGTAGGCAACACAAAAGTTGTGAATGGTAACATGATACTGGGTCTGGTGAAGAATAAACTCAAGTGGTGAGAGTTGCTGCCTTAATAAACTCTTTTAAATTCCAATTTTTTACAATTCATTGGTATTTGCAATGAGTAAACAATGTGTTTAGGAATGTGTGTATTTTAGGGACTGAATTTTCAATATGTTTCATGTCAGCTGTAATGTTACTTTTATTATTAAAAGCTCTACTTACATTCATGGCCACCCTGTAAATAAAGTGATCTGAAGCCTTTTCAGTTGAAGAAGATGAGAATGAGTTAAACTTTGTCTGTAACAGTGTAATTACGAAGTTGTATGAAATCCTGAGCTTACCTTTTGTTCAGATACATGACCTCTTTTTCAGAGCACTAAGAAACCACACATTTGAAGAAACATAGGCCTGTTGATCTGTCTTTTTCCTCACTGTTTAGGACATTTGTATTCTTTTTAGTTGTTTTTGTCAAATTATGTTGAAATCAAAGCTGTCATGCTTCAAAGTGAAATAGGTCATAAATTATTTGTTTTGTTGTAGTTGGCAAAATAAGTCAGATGTTTTTAATTCTTCAGCCCCTTCTCTTGAGGAATTGGATGAAATTCAGGGATAAGTATTTCCCTCTGTTTGAGACTTACCAGACACAAAATTATAAGTCAATACAGTTGTCTAAGCAAAGTTGAAGAAACCAGAGAATTCTTGTCTTGGAGGAATTTTATTGTAAATACATCCTCTTGTTCACTTTTGTTCTGCTACCTCTCTAAATACCTACACTATGAAAGGTGATAGCCAAACTGAAGACTGATAAATCCTTCATATCACCAGCTTGCCTTTTGTAACAAATTACTCAGTTTGAGCAAGAATGACACCTACCTTCATAGTCTGACATTAAATTATAATGATGATTAGCTATTTAAGGTTATAGTCTAAACTCATAACTAAGTGAAGTTAGGCTTTTTGTAACAGTTAGGATTTTTTTTTTGTTTTTATAACTGTGTAAGGTAAAGATGCCCCCATATATCTTCTATATACCTCAGTTTTACGGTATAACTGAAAGACTGTTCCACCCAATTCTTTTTTTTTTTTTTCTCTTACTGACTATATTCCTAATTTGCAAAGTGTACCTCTGAAAAGATGGTTAATATGAAGTCTACAAAGTTGTTAGGTTTTTTTTATGTTAATGAAATTCTATACCTCAACCTTAACCACTATGTAAAGAAATAATCTGATGCATATTATTAATATATAGAAAAATATATTAAGCCATGATATTTAAAAAAGCCATCAATTATTATCCTTCAGAAATTATTAACCTTAGTTACATTATGTGATTGTAATTATTTTCCTCACAAACTAAAAATCGTTTTCATTTATGGAATATAAAAAAACCCCCAACAACTGAAATTCTTTTTCCTAAGTTGCCCTAGTTGGAATTTTTAACTAAGTTCCATGTAGTCAGTTGTGACATAACTAAAAAAATTGAGGAGAGGCTAAGAACATTGACAAGCAGTGTTGGAGGTCTAAGTATTAATTTTTGTAAAGGAATCAGATGTCCAAATGTAAAAGAAAAGGGAGAAAAAAATGAAAACATGAGGTAAAATTGTTAATCCATTCCAAATACTTCTGTATATTTCTGCTACCAAATCAGAGCACTTTTAAAATCAGAAGTCTGCTTGCCTGTCTGTAATAGGTCATATTATTTTCATGCATTAAGGTATTTTCTACAGTTTTCAGTGGTTGAACATTATGTATTGATTTACTCTGAGCATGAATTTGCTCTTTCGAAAGGGAAAGCTCTGCAGTACTGGCAATAATGTTACAAGTAGTTACACATTATATATTATTACTGCTATTTCTGAGGTACAGTTTCGGGTCTTCCAAGGTCTAGGGAACGTTAAAAGGAGTACTATGATTTCATAAATTTAATCCTGACCTCTGGTGGCAATTGTCATGAATCGCTGCCTTAATTTAGCGGTGGAAGTTGGTTTTCCTTGTGTTTCCCTGGAAGAAGATTTCCTTTCATTTGTGTTAAGTATATGTATTTACTGATGCAATATAAGTTATAGCTTTATTTTTAGCCAATAGACTACAAATTATATTTTACTTTATGATAGTAAATACTATTTCTGTGAATGATTTTGAATATACAAGCAAGGAAGAAAAATCAGACACAACGTCCTTTGAGGGATTTCCATAACGTTCACTTGTTTCCTGTCTTTTGTTCACCAAAACGGTTGCTCCTGGGTAGCTAATGTGTTGTAAAATTTAATTTTTTCTTACTTTGTGGTTATTTCTTTATGCAGTTGTATCCAGAGCTCTTGTTACTCCTTGCTTCTATTATCTTAAAATAACATGCAGTTTGATTGTTCCTTTAAATGTTTAGTTGTTTGCTGGTGTGTGTATCCAAGCACATCATAAGGCATTAAGGCATAAGGACATTTCAGCATTATAGGTGAACTGCAAAGCTTTAAAAGAAGAAATTATAAGGATCTACATCAATAGTATTTATGGACTTGAAGAAGATCTCTATAGGGGTAGGGCCATGAGACAAAACAAAAAAGTCCCATAGGCCTTGTGTAGACATCTCTTAATGCCGAAGTTGGTATCTGGATTACAGTCTTCATATATTGCAGATGAGTGAAAAGTTAATTTTAAATTAAGATATTTCTAAGCTAAAAACTCAGCCCCAACTTCTGCACTGGCACAGCAGACTTTCTGTCATGGTGGTAGTTGCCAGGCTGCTCACAAGGCTCCCATCAGCACAGGACCCTGCTGCAGCATTCTGGCTGCTTTTTCCATAGATTACAGTACATTTTGTTGTCTTGTCATGTTTCAACTTGCACTTTATAAGAAGGCATAAAGCATTTGAAAGGGGAAGGTATCAGATGAGAAGCATCATGGACTCCCATGTTGTTATGGTTCACTTCTGTGCTGTCTAAGATCTAGGCTCCTGTGAAATGAGGTAGGATTTCTGACATTCCAGACAGTTGTTTTGAATGTGTATAGCAAAATCCCTTTGAAACGTAAAAGGTATTTTGTAGAAATTTCAGCTGCTAGGGAGTCTAGAACGTCTAATAAGATAAGGCTTTTATGTTTTTCTTAGTACTTCGTTTCAAAAAGTGTCTAAGAGTCTTTGATTGTTGCACACAGAAATGATTCACAGGCAGAGAAGTATGTCCGCTGTGGCAGATTACAAGAATCATACATTACATCTTTATCAATTAAGCCTGTATGAAACGGGTGTTAAAAAAAAGAAAATGAGTATTTCATAATAGAGTTTTTATTAAACTACTACTGTTATTAATATGGAACATACACCAAAATCTGAATTAAGACATCGGTGCTAGGCGCTGTATAGACACTTGTGTGTCTGAATGTAGAGCGAACATCTGGCAATACACAAGCAATGTGAGTTGTCTGGACTGCTGTTTGCTGCAGTTTTCTTTATTCTTTCTAAAATAAGGAAGTAATCTCTCTGTGATGTCTTCCTTTTTACTGAGGAAGTCAGGAATTGAAAGGGCACAGTGTCAGCTCTGTGAATTCTTGTCTAATGCAGATTTATTCATTCTCTTAATACAAGCTTGTTGACTATCTTGATCCCATTTATAACAATGTACTTACTGATTTGCTCAGGCATAATAGTCCTTTGTAAGTAATCCCTGATCTAAACTATGGCAGATGTCTCAGCAGTATAACTTTTTTTTTTTTTTTTTAATGTAAATATAGTATTTGGATCTGAAATGCTGTGATGCCTTTCCATCTCTACTATCATTATTTTTGTTTCAGGCTCTGATGTAATAAACATCTCTGAGGGAAAACAGAGCTGTTCTTGCTTTCTCATTTTAAAACATCGGTCTGCTGTTTTAAAAGCCTACCTGTCTGTTTTATGGTTACTCACAAGTACACAGCATATTGTTTTCATTTGGATTTGTTTTTTAACCTCTAACTGCTACTTTGGCTTCTACTTGCCTTTTGGAGATTCATCGTTATTGGTTTGCACAGTCTGTAGCACCAAAATTCTCATAGAAGCTGAAAGGGGTTGCAGTGTTAGGTGAGTGAAAGAGGATTCTTTCCAAATGTCTTATGTTAAATGTAGAATTTATGTTCTTTTTCAATTTTAAGAAATTCCTTCAAATTGAGGATGAGTGTCTATGATACTGACTTTAATCCACTATTGAGAAATTAGTGACTTTCAAAAAAAGCAAATCTTCGGGTGTACAAATATCTTTTAGAAAACATAACTGTGTTTACTAATATATAGAAATATTAAGCATATAATTTAAAATGAAATGGTACTGCATTTTAATCATTTAAACTATAAAGCTTTGCATTGACCTTTAAATCTGAATTTCTTTGTTTTCTCTAGATGTTGAAATTTGTAATATGGTTTTTGTTTTTTAGACAGTAATATCTATTTCTGCAATTTTGGATGTTTTACCTGTTACCTATGCTTACTTTGATGCAATTTACTATATGTAAAACTATTATGTATTTTAAATGAAGTAAATTGTTGTAGCACAAAAATTCCCGTGGGTCTGCAGGAATCACTATGCAAGATTCAAATTAATGGAAAATAGAAATCAAGCTTTATTTCAAATAATAATATATTTAGAAATTGTCTTTATACAGGTAAATGGTTGCAGTTCTGTGACAAGAACAGCTATACCTGCAGACTTAATCAGGGTACAGTATTGCAATTGAATCATAATACTAATAGTGAACACTAAAAACCTCGAAAAATTTGTCTTGAACAAAAACTGTGTTGCTGACTAATACTTTATTCTGCATGCTGTGCTCTGCATCTGCATTGTTTGTTATATGTTACTATAGTGTATCTTTAAACTTGAAATGCGAAAAAAAATGTACTACTTCTATTAAGGCTAAGATTATAACGTAGAACTTGCAGAAATGCTTTGTGTCAGTGCTTTTGAGGTGTGAATTACACTAACAAAGGAGGTTACCATGGCAATAAGATCTTCAATGCTGTATTGTATGTTAATGTTCTAAGGTGGCATTTGATAAAGAACTTGATATTTGAGTTTACTTTCTGTGATAAAGAATTAAAAAATGGCATGTTAAGGAACTTGGATTGATTTAGGAAGAAGAATTTGGAATTGGAGAGATTTGTTGTGAGCATGGAATGCAGCACACTCACACGCAGCTAGAGGTGATGGAGAATGAGTTGTCTGGGAAACAACAAGAGATTGAAGAGCTAAACAGAGAGCTAGAAGAAATGAGGGCCGCATATGGTACAGAAGGATTGCAACAGGTATAATTACCTTATGTTGCTTTCTGCTTGCTACTTGGTTACATGCAAAAATGCAGAGCATCACCTAAAAGAATTCACACTTGATGGCAGCTGTTCAGAATGCAGTCAGTGTGTGAGATAGAATTACACATAATTTCTTTCAGTCACGTACCATGCACTCTGTTTCTTTGAATGGCATTTCCATTGTGTGTCCTTTCTGTGTATTTTTTGAGTAAAATTCCAGTCTTCTTTGCAGTGACTTTCTTCAAATCAGGAATGGAAAGATTATTTTCTTAAAGAAAAATCCTAATTCTTCTCTAGTTGTTCTTACTTCAGAAATACCATCAAATTTTAAAGTTAGGTTTTAAAGAATATTAGATACTTATTCTTCCAGTTGTAACAAGTCGTGCAAAGCACTGAAGTCAGTGCTTTGTCATGCTTCATGTCTTACTTACCCCTCTCTCTCTTAATTTGGATTCTCATCATTGTGTCTTTCTGTTTTTTTGCAAAGTACTATAGAATACCAAAATTGTTCTACTATTCAGCCTTTTTCACCTTCATTATTATTGCACAATTATAATTTTTTCTGCTTTCATTTGTATTTTATCTATGAAAATGGATGTCATGTTTTCCACCATATTAGAGTGATCTTTAAGTGGTTGCCGTGGAGGACGTGGTTTATCATTCCTTTGTCTGTTAGTCAATCTCTGGTGTTGCATTTTAAGTCAAACTTGGTTTCTAATTACTGTCTTGCATCTGTTGTGCTAAACATAATAGTCATGATTATAGCATAATAAAAAATGTAAGCATAATTTTAGTTTCTCACAATTGTGAGGACTGTTATTTTTTCCTGAAAAAGCTGAAAGTGAAAATGTTTGCATTTTTTAAATGGCTATGATTACTATTTTTAAAATAAATTAAAAATGTATTAAAACAGTAGAGACTGTGGTACAATAATATTTTAATAGTTGCAGCATATTTTTGTATTATAGTGGTGCAGTGCATAATATCTCGGCAGAGAAATGCATATGGTTTATTTTTCAGAAGAAACAAAAGAATTGTAAAAGGGGAGTGCAGAAAATACATTGTGTGCTTTAGTTCTGCCTGTTTGTTAAAGATTGAATAAAAAATTTGAAAATTATTATATAACAATGCAATGTGGGGATCAGAACATAGAAATGTAGTTATTCAGTTTCGTTAAACAGGTGCAAAAGGAAAGGTATGACACGCTTAAGTGTCTGATCTGTTCCTAATTTTCTCTATTGTAACAAGCATCCAGTATTCCCACTAGATCTATGCTTTTAAAGTAGGAGTGTACTGCAGTGTTCTGAAAAGTACTTTGCAAAGAATTTGAGGAAATTATTTCATAGTTAGGCTTTTTAAGTTAGGCTGTTCTCTCTTTTATGTCTCACTTAATAATGTCCCTATCCTCTAAATCAGTAAGCTTTATCTCAAAGTATTGCAATTTTACTTCAAAACACAGCAAGTAACCTGGAGAAGGTTCTTTTTTGGGAGCATTGTAAACAAAAGTTATAGAAGGTGACTGATGGTTTAAAATAATTGCAGTATATAGAGTTGAAGCTTCCACTAGCCTTGAATGAGTTCAAATTGACAAAGTTACTTTAAAGTAACATACCTGTTTATATAATTGTATATGAAAATAGTCTCAATTAATATTGTAGAATTTCTGGCAGCCTGAGTGTAATCCTACAAAAAAACCAAACCAAAACAAAACAAAAAACCACTTGCAGAGGATTTCTTCCATACTTTTATAATTTCTTCATCATTACAAATTACAAAAGATTCATCTATTAAATACACTGTATCGGTTTTGCAGCTTGAGCTGATTTTCTCATATAGTTATGAATAATTTCTATGGCTTCACAATGCAGGCTACTGCAGGGTATCTTATATGCTACATCGTACTACTTATGCTTGTAGTTTGATGAATGCAATTTATTGCACTTTCAGTGATAGATTATATAACTTGCATTTATTGTGAGAAAAGTGTGTGGACGTGAGTAGTTGTACAAAATTTCTGAAACACCATTAATAGGTACTCTGGCTTCCTTTATGATCGTTTGTTTGTGTGGACACACTTTTAAGTTTAAAAGCAATTTATGTATTTAACTAATTAACCTTCTTAGAGGTTCAGATTTTGTTCTTTGATAAATATATTTTATAGAAAGGTCATATATTGTTAAATGAGGAGATAAAAAAATCTGTTGCTAAAGTATTTACATACAGAGTTTGTGAAAACATAAATGCTCCAGTAGGTCTGTGTGACCTCTTTTAAACTGAGAGGTTAGGGATGACGTGTTCCTACTTAACCTAGAATAAGCTAGTAGTTTTTTTGTCTGTGACTTTGATGTGCACTAATAGTTTAAATTTTATTTTTTGTAGCTGCAAGAATTTGAAGCTGCTATCAAAAAAAGAGATGACATTATCACTCAGCTCACTACTAACCTACAGCAGGCACGGAAAGAAAAGGATGAAACTATGAGGGAGTTCTTAGAGCTTACTGAACAAAGTCAAAAACTGCAAATTCAGTTTCAGCATGTAAGTTAGAGCACTAACAAATATTTATTTGAAACACATAATTTTTTGTGCATTTTTGAAGAATTAGTCTTTTAGGATAGATCAGTAGTCACTTTACTGATCCTACAGTTATCATTACAGTACCTGATTCTGGTGGGTTGACCCTGGCTGGATGCCAAGAACCCACCAAAGCTGCTCTATAACTCCACTTCCTCAACTGGGCAGGGGAGGGAAAATAAAATAAAAGGCTCATGGGTCAGGATAAAGACAGGGAGAGATAATTCACTAATTACCATCACAGTCAAAACAGACTTGACTTTGGGAAATTAGTTTAATTTATTACCAATTAGATCAGCTCTCTTACAACTACCTGAAAGGAGGTTGTAGTGAGGTGGATGTTGGTTTCTTCTCCCAAATAACAAGTGATAGGACAAGAGGGAACGGCCTTAACTTGCCCCAGGGGAGGTTTAGGTTGGATATTAGGAGAAATATATCCCAATTTTTTATCATCCCCACAGGAGGACCTGTGGGGTCCTCCACAGGCTGCAGGTGGACATCTGCTCTACCATGGACCTCCATGGGCTGCAGGGGGACAGCCTGCCTCACCATGGACCTCCATGGGGTGCAGGGGGACAGCCTGCCTCACCATGGTCTTCACCACAGGCTGCAGGGGAATCTCTGCTCTGGCACCTGGAGCACCTCCTCACCCTCCTTCTGCACTGACCTTGGTGTCTGCAGAGTTGTGTCTTCTCTCATATTCTCCCTCCTCTCTCTGTCTGAAAAATGCACAGGTTTTTTCTTCTTTCTCCTTCTTAATTATGTTATCCCAGAGGCATTACTGCCGTTGCTGATGGGCTCGGCCTTGGCCAGCAGTGGGCCCATCTTGTAACCGACTGGCATTGGCTGTGTTGGACATGGGGGAAGCTTCTGGCAGCTTCTCACAGAAGCCACCCCTGTAGTTCCCTCACTACCAAAACCTAGACAACCCAATACAGTGGTTTATTGTACTAATTCACTATATAATAATAAAGATCAGTCTGTTTTCTTCCCTAGTGTGTGGTGATAACTTCGGATAGATACTGGATGATGGCTGTTATCTTAGAGAAAAACACTTGTGTAATTAGTTCTCAGAGCTTGGGCTGAAATCCAGCCTGTTCCCTTTGAAATCAAAACAGCCAGCCATCAACTTTAGTGCACCACCATTTCATGCTCCAGTCCTTTTTGTATTTTTGGGTAAAACCTGCCTCTTGTGGTGTTATTAGAAGTTAATTTAAATAACAGAATTAAGTTTCAGAGAAGCATTTGTTCTAAAAAGCACTGGTGACTGTTAATCCGTGTGACTACAGTTCACAGTGTTGCAGTTGAATATTGCAGTATTTTGTACTGTTTAAGTACTTTATGTAGATTTTTTTTGAGCTTTGGGTGGATTATATGCTGAAGCCTGAGTTTTTATTACTAAAATTCTGATTCTGGGGACAGTAATTACAACTAGTTCATTTTACTACTTAGAAATGTTTCTGAGACACTGCTGTCCTGTGCTAGCTCATAAAATAATTTAATATTAAATATTTTTAATTGTTTGGCTATTTTAGTTCCTCTTAGAAGAACTAATATTTTGTAATGTTTTGCTATAGTCTCTGGGCTTGTAATGTGGAAGAAGAAAGTAAAGATCACTCTTTCTGTAGTGCAAGCTGTTTCTGAAAAACTTGATATATTTTGATTTGGTTTTGGGGGTTTTTTTAACCTTCAAGTTGCAGGCAAGTGAAGCCCTAAGGAACACCAGCCATAGTTGCACAGCTGCTGATTTATTGCAAGCCAAACAACAGATACTTTCACATCAGCAACAGCTAGAAGAACAAGAATGTCTGCTGAAGAACTATCAAAAAAAGAATGAAGAATTTGAAATACAGATTACTTGTCTTCAAGACAAAATCTCAACATATGAAATGGTATGTTCCTTACTAGTAAGATCTCTTTTCCTACTCTATTTTTTCTTTTCAGGATTCTATAGTTCCTTTGAAATTTAAGGGCCAAAGCACAGATTATGGGTGTGCTGCATATAATGCATACAGAGATTTTAAGTTTTTAAGACTGCTTCTGTTAACTAACACATAGTATGTGTATAATTTAAAACTGAAATTTTTATGTCAGTATTATGTATCATGTTTTAAAAAATTTCAGAAGTATTTCCAACAAATTTTGAAACTATACTGTATATTAGGATGCCTTCGTTAAATGACATTATTTTGTCAGGAAAAAAAAAATGACCTGCTTGAACAATCTTTTCTGTCGTAAGGAAAGAATGAATTATTTTCATCATGTACTTTTTAAAAAAATTATCCTTCATGGAAAATATCCAAGGTGGAGTGGAGGGGGGATGTGGACAGGGGGTGATGCGGAGTTGGAGGTGGTGCAGGCATTTTAACTTATTGCAGAGGTACAGAAAACCTCCAAATAAGGTCAACAAATAATTTATATTTAGTTTTTATAAATGATCACTAGCCTTCTAAAGAAAGGCATTGTGTTTAAATAGCAAAGTCTATAAATGTTCTTGTATATTCAGATAATGAACTAAAAATAAGAACATGGTTCTCATTTTTTTTTAAAGGAAAAACAGAAAAATGAGGGAGAAGATTTGAGTAAACTGCAAGAAAAAGATGCATTAGTTGAAGAGCTGAAAGCAAAACTTGAAGAAGAAGAAAAAAATTCATTTCAGCTTAAGGAAAAATTATCAGATGTCAGTAAATTACTTGAAGAATTAAAAGAACAGATTTCACTAAAGAACCAGGAGATAAGTAATATGAGAGTTGAACTTACCACCTACAAACAGAAAGAAAGACAATGTTCAGATGAAGTAAAACAATTAATGGGAACTGTGGAAGAACTGCAGAAACGCTGTTATAAAGACAGCCAGTCTGAAGCTGACATTGTGCAAAGAATGGAATTGGAAACACAAAGGAGACTGGCACAACTTCAAGCTGAATTAGATGAAATGCACGGCCAGCAGATTGTACAAATGAAGCAAGAATTAATTAAGCAACATGCAGTGGAAATAGAACAACGTCTTTTGCAGCAAAAAGTAGAACTGGAGAAAACTTCAAGTCTTTGTCTGAATGAGAATGTTAATAAAGATCAAATGCATTTAATGAGTATTAAAATTAATGAATTGAATGTGAAATTGCAAGATGCTGATAATGAAAGGGAAAAAATAAAGCGAGAATTGTCACAACAGGTGGAAGTAATTTTAGCAGAGAAATCTCTTCAACAAACTAAAATTGAAGATCTTTTCCAAGAGCTGAATTTTTCAAGAGAACAGGTTCAAAGAGCCAAACAAACTATAGTGGATATGGAATGTAGATTAAATGAAGCTGAAAAATACCAATTTGTGATTGAAGAATTAAAAACTCAGCTGGCTTCTGCCTCTGAATTTAGGAAGGAACTGGAATTAAAACATGAGGCAGAAGTTACAAATTACAAAATAAAACTCGAAATGCTAGAAAGGGAGAAGGATGCAGTTTTGGACAGGATGGCAGAATCTCAAGAAGCAGAATTAGAGAGACTGAGAACGAAGCTTCTGTTTAGTCATGAAGAGGAACTTTCCAGACTTAAAGAAGACTTGCAGAAAGAGCACATGGTGAACATGGAGAACCTTAAAGATAACTTGAATATGCACCATAAACAGCAGTTAGATGAGGTACAAAATGAAATGAGTCAAAAGATAGAAGCCATGCAATATGAAAAGGACAACTTAATCATAAAGCAAAATCAGTTGATATTAGAGATTTCAAACCTAAAAGATTTACAACAGTCTATTGTAAATTCTAAATCTGAAGAAATGACACTTCAAATCCACGAGCTGCAGAAGGAGATTGAAGTGCTTAGGCAAGAGGAAAAAGAAAAAGGTACCCTTGAACAAGAAATTCAAGAGCTGCAGCTTAAAACTGAGTTGATGCAGGAACAAATGAGGGAGAGAGAAGACAGCCTTCAAAAAAAATATTCAGAACTTGAAACACAAAATAACCTTCTTAAGGGGGAAAACAAAAGTCTAGAAGAGAAATTAAAGACTATGTTGGTAAGCTCAGAAGAAAATGTAATTTTTAACAACAGTGTTAGCTCTAAGTCAGAAATTTTGGACTTGCAAAAGAGAATAGAAAAGCTGATTACTGAAAATGAGCAACTTAAAAACCAAAACAGTCAACTCCAAGAGGATACTGAAAGGCAGAAGAGTGCCTTTTCATTTACTGAGAAAAAACTTGAAGCTGATTATAAAGAACTGCAGAAAGAATGTGCAAGCCTTCAGAAGGCAAAAGCTGAGTTAGAAGAGAACAAGAATAAGCAGGAAGCTGAATATAAAAGCAAACTCAAAGCTTTGAACAAAAGACTTCACGACTTACAAAGCAATAGACCAGTTTTATTTAAAACTAAAACTTCGGGTTTTGAAGGGAGTAAAGAAATCAAGGTGTGCAGGGCAGACACATATGTGGCTGGAGAAGCTGTTGAGAAAGATGCAACAGAACTTATGGAAAAGCTTGAGGTTACCCAACGTGAGAAACTGGAATTATCCCTCAGACTTGCTGATCTCTCTGAACAGTTGAAGTCAAAGCATAGTGAAATTTGTCATTTAAACGAAAAAGTTATATCCTTAAAAGGTGAGAAAGATCACGCTCTAGAAAAATGTAAAGAACTAGAAGTCATAATTAGCCATGCTCAGAGCAGAAGTAGTAGTAATGACCCTAAGACAAAATATTCTAAAGGAAAAGCTCTAAAGACTGCTACTCCACCATCTGAAAGTAGAAATAAAACCCCTGATCCAAGCAATAAAGTTGATGAAGGAATAAATGTAAGAGGAAACTTGGGTTCAGGTAAAGGTATCAGTCATGAGGTATCAAAAAGAAAGGAAGTTCAGCAAATGTTGAAAGCAGAACAGCAGTCTGTTGTGGATCATTTGCATGGGATGACAGACAGGCTGGCAGATGAAACATCGCTAATAGCCGCTACACAGAGTGAAAATAATAATCTTCAGCAGCAAGTGGATGCCTTACAATCAGAACAGGTACGTTACATAAAGCAGTATAGAAAATGATTTACCTATTAAAATTTGTAGGAGCTTGCACTTGGAAATTTGCATCATACTTTGTCTTTTAGCTGCTTCGAAGTACAGGTGCATGGTCATGTACGTGTGGCAGTGTGGCCAGTGGTTGAAAGTGGTTAAGTGAATGATCAGAATGATAACCATAGTCAGTGTGTATGAGGATGCTATTTTTAAGTGAAAGAAATACTCTTCCCTTACACTTAATTAAATCAACAACAACAACAAAAGGTAAGGAGAAGACATCTAGAGCACTTCATAGTATGGTATAGCATTTAACTCACTTACTTGATGTAAAAACTTATATCAAACTTGTGAAATATCAAACTTCTGAAATAGTAATCTTCTATTACCAAAATTTTTGTGTATATGAGGTTATCACTTCTTAAGAAATGTGTTTGTATGTGAGCATGAGAAGAAAAATGTGTGAAGATACAGAAATGCATATTGTGTGATTCTAACCCATCTTTATGTTTTGCTGGAGAAATTTTGTTTGTGTTTTTTGGTATTGTATGTGTTGGTATGAATTGCAGGTAGTATGGAAAGGATTGTTATTTGCCAATAAAAATAGCTAAGTTTTGAATTATCAGTATTTAATTAGGTGCTGGAATAATAAATCTGGCTTTAAATTTATATACAGTTATGAAGTTCAATAGCCTGCTGCAAGAAGTATGCAACTAAGTTTTCTGTAGAAATAGATGTTAACCAGTCTTCTATTTTTTCTTTAGATTAGCTTGTTCTTTTCATGTCCTAAAAATCCACCTGACAGTGAACTAATACCACCACTACCTGATTTTATGTTGTATTGTCATTCAGGAATTTCCTAAGAAATAAAGTCAGAAGCAAAGCCACATTGGAAACGGTTGTGAGATTATAGAACAGAGCTACAGTTGTATAATGTGGTTTTTGGTTTTGCTTTGTTTTTTTTTTAATGAGGATGTGATAAGAGTCTTATAATTTCCTGCCATAGAACTAAAAAAAACATTATGGTCCAGAGGTGTCTAAAAATCTTTTCAAACTTGGACTTTAAATAGTTTGGTATTGGCATATCCTAAGCATGCTTTTGCTTTAGCAATAACATTCCCGAAAGTGCAGACTAGAACTACAAGCCTTGGAAATCAATTGTTTTTAATGTCTGATAATAATACAATCCTTTTTCTGTATTTAGAGTTAACTTTTTTAACTTACTGTATTGGTAGTGATGTTGCTTTCACTTCATCAGGGTAAAATTCATTGGGTTTTTATTGCTGCAAAA